TAAAGATCTGTAGCATATGTCTAAGGAAAGAATCCTAGCCACACGACCGAACACTCCTTCACTTAGTCCCGTTTCGGGGGTACACTGTAGAATGCAGTCAATTTTTGTAATTGAAGAAAACTTATCTGTAAAGCCCCGTAAGGTGAAAAAAAAATTAACGTGTAATGTAAGCTTATAGAAAATCTCTCAGCAACGGACTGTTTTACTGTAGATTTCATCGCTAAAGGCGAATAGCTGTTTTATGCTAGTTCGGGACTCCCCGAGAGTTAACAGTTCCACTAACTGAATCTCTGCGAATATGAAATCTGAACACTTATTATTCAATTATTCACATTCAACCTATTATGATTATCTATTCATTTAAAAGAAATTAAACAGACAAACTGTCACGAATTGCTTAGGTATTGTCTTCTAAATCACTAAATCACCGTGACCTATAAACACTTAAACCAATATCAGAATACGTGCTGCATGATTTCGATTACGAATTTGAGTAATACATTAAATACACGCTTTGCAAAAACACTAAAAATTAAAATCTTTAGGTAGTGATTCAAAAACAGTTAGTTATCTTTGAGTTAAATCAATATAACGAAGACTGTTTTTTCTCAAGTAATCATCACCAAAGTGATACTTTAGAAAAGTAAAAAAACAGAAAAGAGATTTTGAATAAAGCAAGAATAACAGTGTGGTTTGTGCAGAGTAATATGGTACCATCATTGCTTATTTCGCTGGCTTCTCATCAGCTGCTACTTACAACCTAAATAAGTTATGAGGTTTAAATACAGAAAAGTTTTAACATACTTGCCAATTTTACATGTTGTCAGTTGACAGAAAGTTCCACAATTAGTAAACAGTGCTCAGAAAATTGCGCTTATAGATAGTTTTTACACACAGGCAGTTAAAGTTTAAACAAAATAAATGTATGCAGAAAATGGTAAAGGAGTTACATAATAAAGATGAGATGTGTGTTAGATGCAGAGTGACTAATAAGTTAGGTAACAATGTACTGAGTTGAACTCAAATCATAGAAACAAGAGAAAAGCAAAATTACAGATTATAAAAGGAGGGTGAGGTTAAAGACAAAGATTACGTAATCCGATAGGAGAATAGAGACATCCAGTTACCAAGGCAAGGAAAGACTAATAACGGCTTCTTTCTGAACACATAAATCTGGTTTCAAGCGTTTCATAGAAATTGCTTCCGCAAACTTGAAAAGAATGGGGCTCCTTTTTCTATTCATAATTTCGAAGGGTTCCTCGATTTCAACCTCATGACCCGTGTCGAGGAGATGTCTGGTAACAGCGCTACTATAAGAGTTTGTTCCCTTGAGACGTAGGCTTTTCGGCACATGTTCAGAAAATCGGAGGTGTGCCCTTCTTTCTGTTCTCTCAATGTAACTGCTCTCGCTGATACACGTAAATTTGTATACGCAGTTGGAGTTAACATGAGAAGGGTATCTATCGACTTTTGACTGCACCAAAGAGCATGTTGTTCGATGGACTGGAACCAACTTAGCTGCAGGATACGCTCTGGCTAGTGACGTTCTCAGTCTTCTGTTGACAATTTCTGCAATGTTTTCACCTTTAAAATCTAGTTGAATGAAGACAGGCTTTTTTTTCAACTGTGATTTGTTTGGTATTTGGGCCTTCACATCTTCCATATTTGTTCATGAATCTTTGAGGATAGTCGTTGTGTTTCAGCACCTTTTCGAGATTCATAAATGCTTCCTCTAGTTTCTCTACAGAGAATATTCTCCTCGCTCTATAGTACAGAGTCTTGACTAGTGCTCGTTTATAGCTATTTGGACAAAAACTATTAAAATGTAAGTATTGTCCATTCCATGTGGGCTTTCGGTAGATTGACCTCTGGAGACCACCATCTTCTAGGCGTTACATGGCGACGTCAAGGAAATGGAACTTTCCATCATTTTCATGTTCTATAGTAAATACAATATTTCTATGTGCGTTGTTGAATAGTCTGAGCAGGTAGGAGGCATGACTTTCGTTGTTGCATACTACAAATGTGTCACCGACATATCGAAAAGAGATTTCATGTCGTCTCTATTACCTTTATTATACCACTAAGTTCTCAGTAGTATACCTAATGACAGTTCTAACCTGTTGAAACTGCCTGTTACGTGTGTTTATTGTGTTCATTAAAAAACACTGAAACAAATTCGACTTTATGTTCCTATTGATTTCTGTGTATGGATCTTGATATTCTGTACAAACAGTTTCTACAACAACCAATTACTTGGGCGTAACCAGTAAACAAAGTCCAGCGTTTCCTTCTGATTGCTTGCAACTGGAAAGCAGACAGGTATTCAATTAAATCACTCTATAAGCTGGCATAGTCTATCGCATAATTTCCAGTAATGGATTAGAAATGATCGAATTTATGATATGGTTCCCTTAAACCTTTAGTCTTTCGATACAGTTATCTCTGAAATGAATGAAAAACCGCATTATATAAGCGTTATAATAAGCTTCGCTTAATGTAAAGTTGATTTTTGCAGAGTAATTCCGCTGAAAATTGTAATCTTTAGTCATTTTCAGTGAAGACGGTGACAGGTTGTAACTCAGGAATTTTGTGTGTTGTGCCATAGAGTTAAATTTGACCTCAGGAAAGTTTCAAATAACATAAATTAAAGTGCCATAAGTTGATGGATTTCCAGGACTGTTGACTGAAAAAAATCTAGTTTTTATTTAGAAATAGAAAGCCATCTGGAGTGAAATATAGTTTTATTTCGTATATTGGCAATTAGCAATATAATACAGGATGACATTTTTGACTATTCTGGATTGGAACTAATTAATTTCCGTGAGCCATAGTTTGCACACCAATTGTTTCAAGAGTTAGAGGGTTATCCAATACTTTAGGAATCCAAGTGGGCTTGTTATTATCTAATATTTATTGGTACTTATTTGTTGATAATTATGATTTAATTCTATCCAACTTACTTTGCTGTGATGTCATCCCACAGTTGATTTGCAATAGAACAAGATGTAGCCTTCACATGTATCAGTAAATAAGGTTTATAGTTTGCTGAACAACAGTGAGTGTTGTGACACAACAACTCATTCATGCAGAAGTAGTGACATAAAGTTGTCAAGTCCTAAATAGAATAATATGGGCATTTTAGAACTCATAGTTAACCTCCACTGAGGAAGACAACACTGAAAAGCGGCTAGAGACAATATAAACCAAACTTTCTAAAAGCTTACATCCTCAGATCAGTTAACTTATTTGAGTAGACTAAACTGTAGAAAATCATAATTATGAATAAAAACTCATTATTTTTCAATGACTTCCCCTACATCTTATTAAAATTTTTACGTATTGGTTTCGTAGGGATTTCGTTTGATTGGATGGAGGGTTTCATCATGAGCTGGCATCAGTTAGAGAATCACTAGAAAACCTGGGAGTACTGGACAACCGTTTGGTCCTATTTTGGGACTATTCAGTAGTACGCAACCACCACAGGGGCTCGAACCCAGGATCTTCTGGTTACATGGTTAGCGAGCTCGTAGACCACTGAGCCACTGGGACCCGATCCAATGGCCACCCCATGAATTCTAACTTCTGCGAATTCACGACGTAGTGTGACCACTTCGCAATGTCTTCTTCTATGAGTTACAGCCTCATCTTCAACCTGATATAATCTAATGGTCAAGACTTTCCACTAGAACCCTAGGTCAATGCCTGAATAGCACCAATCGCTAGTGAACACCAGATTAATTTTCAAGTAACTCATCGAAGAAGACATTGCGAAGTGGTCGCACTACGTCGTGAATTCGCAGAAGTTAGAATTCATGGGGTGGCCATTGGATCGGTCCCAGTGGCTCAGTGGTCTACGAGCTCGCAACCATGTAACCAGAAGATCCTGGATTCGAGCCCCTGTGGTGGTTGCGTACTACTGAAGAGTCCCAAACTGGGATGAAACGGTTGTCCAGTACTCCCAGGTTTTCCAGTGGTTCTGTAACTGATGTCGGCTCATGATGAAATCCAGTCCATCCAATCTAATTAAAACACAGATAAGTTGATGCGTTGATTCACTGTTAATGCAGCATACCAGTATGCTGTACCACTGATAGTTTTCAGAAGTCTATATTTGCTTCTGTTAATATAATTTGAAGTAAACACTTAAAAGAAATAAATATTTCTAAAAGGAAGTCCAGAATGTCAGTGAAATAAAACGAATCTACTTTTTTTATAAAAATTATGCTCTAACAGTTTTGTCGAAATTATTACTTAGGATGCTTTAGAAGTCATATATATATTTATATATTCACTTCTATAGTACGAAAATCCTAAAGGTTTGGTTCTTGAAATGCGCTGCATGTTGCTATGCTCAGTGCTCTTATAGCAATAGGGCGTTATGATGCAATTTGATATAGACTATATTCTTGTTTATTCCTGATTTTAAGAAGCTATAAACGGTTATTATTTTGCATTGATATCTGCAATAAAACATGTCAACAACTGATTGGTTAGCAGCTGCTGAATTTTTCAAAGTGTAAGGTTAGGATACCCACCCTGTAAAGAACGGCATAATTGCTCCTGAAACTCCAAGGAGTCCTTCCTACTCAGGATGCAAGGTATGAAGAAAAGAATTACTGAAAGCAGTTGAGGGCTGATGGCCAATCAAAATACTGTTCCTTATCAATCTAATCTCTATCAAAAAAGTACAAGATCTGTCCATTTCATATCAATGAGGTAATGTGAAGCACATTTTAATCCTTTAACTGGTGAGTTTAAAGTTTGTGGTTTGCATTTTTCGAACTTAAATTATACGCCTTCTTATACAATAAATTTTTTGTTTACTGTTATCAATCGGTAACTAACACCACTTTTAACTTACCTCATCTTTGATTTATTCATTCACAAAGAACTATAATTTGTCGAGATGATAATTAGATTCAAAAGGTTTGAAGTGTTAAATTAAAAGTTAAGGGCTAAATAACAATGAGCCCATCAACAGTCTGAATGGTTCCCTGATGGGTATTATGTGTACGTGGTGATAATTTCTTTCTGGGTATGTATAGTTCCCTGGGTGACATCATTCCACTGAGAAAAAATCGAATTCAAATAAAATAATTTCTTCTGTTTAACATTTTTAGATACTGACAAAGGTGATACAAAATGTCATTTCATAAACGATAACCAGCCATCAGAAGGTAATGATAAACTAAATTCTGGTGGCTATACGACATGTCAGTCTTCTGATGCTTCGTCACTAGAAATAGCATCGACTACAACACTAATGGCAACAGCCTCCTCCTCATCAACATCATCGGCAACAGTGATGTCTCCGTCGTGCTCATCAACAACATCAAAGTGTTCTAAAATGCAGTTTACATCAAACGATTCAATGTCAGTCATTCACGTAAAAGAAGACCAGACTGGTGTAAATGGCCGATGTGTGCACAGTATCGAACAAGTGGCTATTGTCCTAGGTATAATCCTGAGGCAACATCACAATCATCACAAACATGTCACGCTGCTCATATCGGTCCGAATGATCATGTACCTGTGTCGTCTGATGGACAAGTTCGAGTATGTTTCGACTCAATGGGGTTGGTGAATGTAAGTTTCCTGTTTAAATAGTTGACAGAATATATCAGTGTTCATAATGGGAAATTTTACACTTTCAAAGGGTAAAACTTATTTTTCAGTGCACTTTTTCACTGAATCACGTTAAGGAGTTTATTAGAAGGACTCGCATAATACTTTTATTATCATTGTTCCCTTGAGATCCAAGAAGGAAAATAGGGCTTTAACAGCGTATCTCTACTTTGTCCTATTTTTTGATGTCTTCTTCATCTGGGTCTAACCTAGCCAGATACTAGCTTTCTAGGCTACTAGCTTACTAGTTTTCTAGCCGGCCCCAAGCCCGGGTAAAGAGGGAGGGTTGGGGCGTGGTGCTAGCAACTCCACCCCTGTAAAACAACCAAATCGCTACAGAAACTTCAACGAATAAATATATTAAAAATTCTAAAAACATAAGCAATAGCCTTACTTTTCGCTGGAATCGGGGAAGTGAAATGACGCAGGCTGGTGAAAGCCTTCGGGAAGCCAGTCAGCCGATGTGCCTTCTTTCGATGAAAGCAAAAGTAAGGATGGGTACCTGGAATGTTCGCACAATGTACGAAACTGGAAAGGCTGCCCAGATAGCCGCTGAAATGAGAAGGTACAGAATAGAAGTGTTGGGAATCTGCGAGAGCAGATGGAACGGAACTGGAAGGTGCCAACTACCTACTGGAGAGACAGTAATCTATTCCGGCCACCCAGAGGACAACCATGAGCACACCGAGGGAGTGGCCATCATGATGTCACCAACAGCAACCAAAGCTCTCATGCAGTGGGAACCAATCTCCTCCAGGATAATGACAGCCAGGTTCAACTCAAAAGGAAGGAAAGTTACAGTCATTCAACTATGCGCCTACAAACGTCTCAGAACAAGAGAAGAAGGAGGCGTTCTACAGACAACTACAAGCAATAATGGACAACGTCCCAAATGGCGATATCAAAATCCTGATGGGCGACATGAATGCGAAGCTGGGAGGAGACAACACAGGAAGAGAACTCACCATGGGTCGTGAGGCCCTCGGTGAAATGAACGACAATGGTGAACTCTTCTCAGACTTCTGCGCCTTCAATGATTTGGTGATTGGCGGTAGTGTGTTCAAACACAAGGATATACACAAGACGACATGGATTTCACCAGATGGAAACACCAAGAACCAAATAGACTTCATCTCAATTTCAAGAAAGTGGAGACGGAGCCTACTGGACACAAGGTCAAGGAGAGGAGCAGATGTGGGTTCAGACCACTATCTAGTAGAAGGGACTTTCAAGGTGAAACTAAAAGCCTCGAGGATAGCTGGGGATAGGCCACAATGCAAGTTCAACACTCAAACTGAAGGACACAACCACAAAAGACACTTTCACTGCAACTGTCAGAGCAAAGCAGGAAACACTACGCGACATCACTGAAGAATCATGCGTGGAAGAACATTGGAAGTCTCTGAAGGCGATTCTCAACGAAACGTGTTCAACGGTTCTAGGAAGAAAGAAGAGACAAGACAAGGAATGGCTCTCAACGGACACTTGGAAATTAATAGAAGAGAGGAGAATGGTGAAAGAGAAAATGATTCAATGCAAGGACGGACAGGAGAAGGAGACGCTGAGCTCAACTTACACAGAACTGGACAAAGAAGTGAAGAAGAGTGCTAGGAAGGACAAAAGACGATTCTACGACAACCTGCCACTGAAGCTGAGAAGGCAGCAGGCAAAAGGGACCTGAGGACACTATATCAGATAACCAAATCTCTATCCGGGAAGAGATCAACACAAGCGAAACCTATAAAAGACAGCCAAGGGAACCCAATTACCAAGGAAGAAAAACAGATTAAACAATGGGCGGATCACTTCAAAGGACTCTTGAACCGACCATCACCTGCAACCCGTCCAGAAATACCAACAACAGCGCGCACACAACTGCAAGTTGACACCAATCCTCCAACGAGAGCTGAAGTCTTGAACGCAATCAAGCTTCTGAAAGCTGGAAAAGCAGCCGGACCAGATGGAATACCCCCTGAAGCACTGAAAGCAGACCCAGAGACTACAGCAGACATGCTGACTCCATTATTGCAAAAGGTCTGGAAGGAGGGAAAGGTGCCTACTGACTGGAGGAAAGGTTACCTCGTGAAACTACCAAAGAAGGGCGACTTAGGCCTCACTCTGCAAGAACTGGCGAGGAATCATGCTCCTATCGACGCCAAGTAAAATCCTGAGTCGCATCATCCTGGAGAGATTAAAGGACGCACTGGAGACAGAACTCCGACCAGAACAAGCTGGATTCAGGAAAGGCAAATCATGTACTGACCAAATTGCAACTCTACGCATCATCATCACAGAACAAAGCATGGAATGGCAATCAAACCTCTACCTCAACTTTATAGACTTTGAGAAGGCCTTCGACAGCGTTGATCGTGAAGTAATTTGGAAATTACTCGAGTACTATGGCGTACCCCAAATATTCATCAACCTTATTCAACAGCTGTACGACAACGGCACATGTCAAGTGATCCACAACGGAAAACTCAGCGAGGCGTTTGGAGTAAACACAGGAGTCAGACAAGGGTGCTTACTATCACCAATGATATTCCTAATTGTGGTGGACTGGCTGGATTATGCGTCAGACAGTGGTGGGAAACGAGAAGACAGGAATATCCTGGACCGACGTGAAGAACCTAGAAGACCTGGATTTCGCGAGTGGATGATTTATGTTTGATGTCACACACAATCGAAGACTTACAAGCGAAAACCGACAAACTGGTCGAAGAAGCAGCCGGCGAAACAGGACTCCAGGTAAACATAGACAAGACGGAGGTTATGAAAATAACCAACCAACAACAACAGCACAACATCCAACGTCAATCACCATCAACGGGAGGGATTTGAAAGAGGTTACTTCATTCACTTATCTAGGGAGCATTGTCTCAACTACAGGAGGAGCGGACGAGGATGTCAAATCGGGAAGGCGAGAAACACATTCATCAACCTGAAATCAATCTGGAAATCTTCGTCACTCAGCATCACCAACAAAATTCGGATTTTCAATACAAACGTAAAGTCAGTTCTTCTATACGGATCAGAAACTTGGCGGGTCACAAAGAATATTTCCAAAAGGTTGCAGACCTTTATTAACAACTGTCTTCGCTCTATACTGAAGATCAGATGGCCGGAAAAAATCACCAACAAGGAATTATGGGAACAAACAAAGCAAGAACCAATCGCCCAACAAATATGCAGGAGAAAGTGGAGATGGATCGGACACTCGCTGAGGAGACCGCTGGGTGACATCGCGCGTCAAGCCCTCGAGTGGAACCCGAAAGGGAAGCGGCGTGTGGGACGTCCAAGGGTGACATGGAGGAGATCGTGTGAAGAGGAGTTGAAAGAGTATGGACTAACATGGATGCAGGCGAAAAGTACAGCAGAAGACAGAAGAAAATGGAGACGTGCAGTTGAAGCCCTATGTTCCACTAGGAACCCAAGGGAGCAATAATAATAATAAATCATCTGGGTCCATGAATGTCCGTAGTCCCTCATCTCCTCCTGGCATGATTTCCTCCATGTCACCCTACAATGACCCACTCGTCATTTCCAATTCGGGTTCCACTCGAGCTGTGGCCTGGCGCACGACGTCAATCGACGATCTCTTCAGTGGGTCTACAATCCATCTCCATTTGGTATTACATGTTAGTTGAGCAATTTACGCTGGATTGTTTGTTACACTGCAGAGTGTCTTGCTGCTAATTCTTTCTGGTCATTTGGACTTCAACATTGCAGCCAGCGAAGGTAGGTGTTGGTAGAAGCCTGTTGTGGCTCACTGGAAATGCTTTTCGTGATGGCCTGGCCAAGTTTCCTACCCATATACAAGAACTGACTGATAGAATAAACATTGGTGTTGAAAATCCAAATCTCGATCTTTATGCTTAAACAGGAGTGTGTAAAATTTCCAGACTGATTACAGATTGATGAAGGTGTGTCTCGCCTTTCCGATTTCGCCTAGCTTTGACATCTTAACTTGTTCCATGTGTCTATCGTTGAAACTATGCTTCCTAGTCGAATAAATGGATGAAGTGATCTCTTCTAAATTTCATCCGTTAACTGTGACTGGTGCTGTTTGTTGTCGCTGTTGATTGCTTGACTTCATCACCTCCGTATTCTCTATGCTCACCTGGAGTCCCGTCTTCGACATTAGCCTCTATGGCCAGTTTGTTGGTTTTCGCCTACAATTCTTCGAGATTGTGTGACGTTAAACATTATTCGTCTGTGAAGTACAGATGTTCTACATTTTTCCTATAGGTCACGCGTATTCTTGTCTCCTAGCTACCCACAGTCTGACGCAAAAACCAATCCACCAAAATTAAGTATATCTTCGGTGTTAATAGGCATCCAGCCTTGTCTTACCCTTGTATTCACTTTGAGCGGCTTACTGAATTTTCGTTTATTTTGTTTTGGAAATAATTTCGGTTTGTTAAGATCAATGAAATTACAGTTCACTAAAGATGCTTAAGTTATAATAACCATAACAATGTGCTTGTAAATAAAAAATTTTAAGAGAATCCTTGTCGAGAATTGTTATCCAGAAAGATTTATTGCAAAATCTATGGATCCTAGACCAGAAAAGCCGCCCAAGCTTAGCGTCCCGAGAAAACTACTCTACATGAACCTTCAATTCATTGGAGAAATATTCGTGGAAACACTAAAAAATCGACTGTTACTCTCACTTAAGAAGACCTTCTTCGCAGCTGAACTACGACTAACCTTCTCCATAAAACCTATGATTCATGTGAACGTGAAGCAAAAGCTATCACTGCTGGCCTCATCAATATGCAATTATCAATTCACCTGCTCGTGTGGAGTCAGTTATTTAGGCCGTACCCAGCGTACGCTTTCAAAACGTCTCACTGAACACTTACCAATATAGTTTTACAAAGGAGAAAAACGATGCATCATCCCCCAGCTCCATCTTAGAACATCTGATAGAATCCGGACACCAAGCTATACTCCAAACAAACTTCAAAGTCGTCTACAGAGTAAGAAGTAGTCTTCCTAAAGGTGTACGAATCGGACTTCTTCAAAATGCAGAAGCAATGGCGATTCACTCGCTAAGCCCTGAACTCTGCATACAGAAGTTTTTCGTTCAATCACTACACTTGCAATGGACTTAATCTATCTTATTACCCGACAAGTAAATTCGACTTAATCCTTTTTTTCTGTCTCTTCATTAGTGTTATTTTGTCTTCTCAATTGTGATATTTTACATTTTCAACTTTCTTGTTCTCTACCCCCACCCGATTTAATTTCTACGCCTCACTATCACTGTTATTGACTTGACCAACGCTCAATTTCTACTCATTTATGTCACGTCATCCAACTTATTTGCTCAATTTCAGTTCTAATTTAAATGGCATTATTATCTACCCCACTTCCACTTAGTCTCTACCTGTAATTAACTCTTTTGCTACCCTGATCTAAGTTGAAACATTTTAGTCAATTATATTGCGTCATCTAACTCATTAACTCAATCTTACTTTAGTTGCTGTCTAATTAACCTTGTTTCTATATTAGATCATTCTTTTATTACCTGATCAATTATCCAAACTTGATAAACCTCATGTACACACACACACACACAAATAATTGTATATATAATTATATACAATCAAACAAAATCCCTACAAAACCATTACTTGAAAATTAATCTGATGCTTACTAGCGACTGGCCCTATTCGGACAGTTAACCTGGGGTTCTAGTGGGAAGCGGTGACCAGTAGGGTACAGCAAGTCGAAGATGGGGCAGTAACTCATCGAGGAAGACATTGCGAAGTGTCGTGAACTATGTCGTGAACTGGCAGAAGTTAGAATTCAAGAACCATTGGATCGGGCATAGTGGTTCAATGGTCTACGAGTCGACTTGTAACCAGAGGTCCTGCGTTCTAACCCCGGTGGGTGCGTACTCCTGAAGAGTCCCAAACTAGGGCGGAACAGCTGTCCAGTACTCCCAGGTTTTCCAGTGGTTCTCTAACTGATGTCAGCTCATGGTGAAATCCTCCATACAATTTTTTATATCACTTTTGCATTCTGTAACCCCGAGATGAGAAAGTATAGAATTATGAATGGTCTTTATTTGCCCTTTACTTAACCACACACGATGGTGTTCGGAAATGCGAATAATGACTGGTGCATATATACTATAAATTGAAACAGTGAATGAGTCAGTCTAAATCTTATTAAAATTTATGTCATAATGAGAAAAAATTGTCTGATATCACTAATGAGCTGGCGTCATCAAATAATTTTAAAATAAAAAATTATCATTAATCTCTTCATTAAATTTAGTAATTCGGTAAGAAATCCAAGAATAGGGCAAATTTCGGAAAGCAAATAAGGTTAGAATATAAAAACTATGATTGGTGCAAAACAGACACATTGAATACGCGAGTCATATCAAACGTCTTGAGTAACTGGTTCAGTGCAGAACACTCACCAACCATGAAAGTGTTCCGGGGTTTGATTCCCAACCGACGCACTACAGTAGTAAGACTGGTAAAGAGGAAATGTTGGTCTTAGAGCTAGCAATACCTCTGAAATGTATAAGCTTCAGCTTAAAGCCTTATGTTATGCTGGGAACACGAAGGAAAAAAATGTCATATTTTTACGGTGGTGACACTTCAGAAAATACTCAAAACAACTCCATTCGTCTGTGTCTGTATGCTATTCAGATAACTGCTCGACTGGATGATATAAAATTAGCATTTTTGAATGACTCGCCTGTTAGTTTACAAAAATACATTTAAAGCGTTGTATCAGGTTGGAAAATCTCGCCTAATTAACTAGCTCGCTGGTTTCCTAGCCGATCCAAAGCCCGGGTAAAGAAGGAGAGTTGGGTGTGGGGCTGGCAACCCCTCACCACTAAATCTTTCAAACCACTAGAGAAACTTCAGCATACAGAAATGGGCATATGCTGAAGTCTGTCCCTCACATTGCTTCAGAGCGGTGAGCGGCTGGAGAACATCACTCTTAGAGTTGCTGCAGGAAGGATCTTCTTCAGGGAACAGGAGATCCTCCTCCTAAGGATATCTTCTGCTAAGTTTCCCTTGAAATTCAGATTCAAATATAGTGTTTTCTTTGGCAATGAAGTGCATTCTTCCCTTTTGTGGCTTTGGTACCATGTTCTCCATCAAACGTGCCGGGTATCCATTTTGAGTCAAGATATTTTTGAGAGATAGAATCTCTTCTTCTAAGCAGTCATTGCTTCGAATTCTTCTGATATGGTGGGCCATGAGATGTCGAGAGCTCTTTTCCGACTAACAGGTATCCAAATTTTATAAGTTTGTCGGTTGGCCATTTCATGACGGTTTTCTGTGGATAGATTATTCCGGAGTTTCATCATCTATTCTTGTCAGTTCAATGTCCAGAAATGGAATTTTTGACTAATTTCCAACCTCAATTGTGAATTTTATTGAAGGATAGCAATCGCTAAACTCCTGCAAGATACATTTTAAATCAGAATCATCATGGCAAATTGTAAAAGTGCCGTCAATGTAACTTTCTTGCGGCAGCAATCTGACCATTTCTGGTTCTTAGATCCAATTTAACAAGCTGACCATAAAGCAGTCTTTCAGAAGTAGGCCAAGGGGAGGGGTAGCCCGTGGCGATCCCATCTTTCTGTCTGTAGATATCATCGTTATGGGTGAATTGTACATTAATTGTGCAGTTCAGTAACAACTCTTTCAAATATAATGTGGGTAGTTCGATGCTCAGATTCATGTCCTCCATATATTTGCAAAGGAAACAAGTTGTTTCTGTAAGTGGCATATTGGTAAATAGAGATTCTACGTCCAGTGATAGCATACGTTTACCAATTACACTCAAATCTTTTATGCATTCACTAAATTCAAAAGTATCTTGAAGAGAGTACTTACATAGTCTCACAGACTCTAGCATTCGGACAACTGGGATGGTATAGTGCGTCGGTGGTACAGCGGCAGAAAACTCGCCTACCACGCATGTGTTCTGGGGCCCGGTCCCGGCCGACGCACTCTTTGACCTCGCTAAGTCAGTAATAAGACTGGTAAAGAGGCAAGGTCGGGCATGAGGCTAGCAACCCCGTCCCGTAAAAATAAACACCACTGCTACCGAAAATTCAAGTCTCTAGCTTGAAGCCCCCTGTGTTCCACTGGGAATGTAAAGACAAAAAAAATTTTCTAAATCAGGTTGAAAATATCAAGAATCTTATTGAATTGCCTCCCGGAATGTCCAACTTTTCACTCGTAAACAACAAGAATTCAGTAAGATATTAAGTTTATTCTTAGGTGGTTACCAGTGTAGTTTGACCATTATTAAATGATTGAAAAGCGTCATCAGGAAATTTATTGAAGGAATACCACCAATGTGAAAACTGTACTAAAGCTGAATTTGGTTGTTTCTAACTGACATAATGAACAACATAGGTTTAAATTTTGAAAGGAGCAATCAAGATATACATTTTGATATATTCCACATATTTTGTATTTAAATCAACTAACGCAAATCATATCTTGTATGTATCTATCTATGTCAACAGCTTACGTGTAATCGGTCAGATTGCTTTTTCTATCATCCACCAAAAATGATTAGAGACCAGATAGTGGCTAAACGACATGCTCAGTATCTTCGTGAGAAAGTGATTCGTGATGTTTCTAAATCTCGTAAATCTGTGGGTCTTTTATCTTCTGAAGACACCGTTAAATCTAATATTCTACATACTAGTAATAAGTCAGGTGGTGAGTTGTCGACACCAACAATAACAGCACACTTCAATAATTTCTTCAATCAGTCAACAATGCTTCACCCTTCACCAGGAACTGTTGAAATACTGCCAACACCTACAATGAACAACGACATCTCGAAAACAGTTATCCTAAATGATAAAAGTGACCCTTTATGCTTCACAAATTTTTCACAGCAACAGCAACACTACAACAATGCTCAGCATCAGCAATTGCCACAATTATCTCAACAGGCATATCTTAAATATCTTTTGCAGTATAACACAACAAATCCACAGACACCATGTTTAATGTTGAATAATGATCCTTCTTCATTCATATCTAATATAATACTGAATAATCCGTCATTTATTCAACAGCCAGGTTTAAACACAAATCCATTATTGAACAATTCATGTCCATTAGTGTCAAATCAACCGATAAAATCTCAATGTCCTGATATGAATTTTTTGTGCCCAACAAATCAAACTGATACTGAAAAGTTATATAATATGCTGTCCTTAAATCTCTCGCCATTAACACAAACAGTGTATTCACCAAGTCTGGTAAGCTTCAATTTATCCTCAATTTTTAGAACATTGGCGTGCGTGGGAACGTAATGGAATGAATGTTATTATCTGTGACAAAAACGTGACTGGCCTACATTTATCACTATTCGATTTTTTATTTTGTGAAGCGAACTACTGATGAGGTAGTATCTACTATGTGAGAACCGGACGTCACCTCTATTTCTATGCTTTTGATATTCCTAATGATAGTAATAGTGGACTTATATGATAAAAAAGAATGAAGCAAAATCATATTAAGAAGTTTACTCTGGCCACGGTAGAGCGAGAGAATGTATGTATCACTTTCAGATCTCGAATAGCTAATGCTTCAGCTGTGTACAGATGGCATATGCCAAGTCCCTTTATACGATATTGAAAGACTCTAAATAGCACTGTGAAGCATTCATGTGGGAGTGCTTGACGTCCGGAGATGACAAGTTGTGCTAAGGATAGAGCTGTTGCTATTATCCGTTTCTCCTCTGGCTAATCGAGCTGGATAGTGTTCCCAAATATGTTTTTGAACTAGACGTTGCCGTCTGTACATAGCTGAAGCATTAGCTATTCGAGATCTGAAACCGACGTATGCATTCACAAGTGACACATACTTTTGATATTCAGCCTACTGTTTGAATTATAAACCTCAAAAGTCTTTGTAAAGTTGCAACGCTTCAGAAAATCCACATTATCGAAACAAACGACCTAAATTTGTTGATAGTACAATGAATTATAAGATTCGATAGTGTGAAATATTCCCATATTATGAATTAAAAGTCAATCTGAACGTGAAGAATATTCTTTTCAATAATTTCTCCTCTTCAGGTTCTTACAATTATAAAATATGAATATATTTGTGGTCATTACAATAAAGGCCAGTTATGCGGTGGATACATTCTCTTTAACGTAGAATAACAGATTAGTTATCGTAGGGTGTCAAAATAAATAGTCATATTTGTGTGACAAACGTCGTGATAGGCTGAAATCGATTAGAAAATATTGTAAAACGGGAGACAATGATGGTGATTAATCATCATAATAGAATTGTAGAGTGTGGGGTAGGAAAATTGACCAATCAGTTCAAGGTTATAAAAGGTGTCAGGTGAGTGAGTGGCTAGTACAAAGTGGTCTGAGTTAAACAGGAGATAGAAAGACTGCAATGAGAGGTTCATAATGAGATAACGAATATGTTAAATGAAACAGGTGGAAGCATGTATTGAGAAAACAGATAATATCACGAATGATAAGTTCGTACAAATGAATGAAAATTCGATAGTATTGAGGGAATGTTTGCATAAAGGGCATCATAAATTATGACGAATAATATTAATAACTGTAATAATAATATTTGTAATAATAAGCAAAGTAAAGAGAAAAAGAAAAAACCAAGAGGGTTAAGGGGAAGGAGCATTCTTGGTGAGAAGAAAAATCTTCAATCCAAGGTTGGCCATGGTAGGAACAGCGTCTGGACGTGTTCTTTTTGGATACGAAGTTCCGGTTTAGTCGATCTTTTACAACAGCTTCAGCTATGTGTAGGAGACGTAAGCGAACTGTACGTGATAACGACTTCGGAATTCGGTATATAACTCTGTAAGCTGTGTTGACATCGATGTGATGTCCAGTATCGACCAAGTGTGACAGGATCGAGCTTTTTATGCATTTAATTTCCCCCCTCCTCTACTGAACCAAGCTGGTAAGTGTTCTCGAACCCGTAGACGAACCTGCCTAATCGTGCGCCCTATATAACTTGAACCACAGGAACAGTTGAAATGGTATATGCATGAAGAAGAGCTAAGGTTAGGTAAGACATCATTGAGTTGGTGGATGAACATTGGACGGCTAGTGAAGGATAGACACAGACACTTGACACCTTTTATAACCTTGAACTGACTTGTCATCACCACTGTCTCCCGTTTTACAATATTTTCTAATCGATTTCAGCCTATCACGACGTTTGTCATACAAATATGACTATTTATTTTGACACCCTACGATAACTAATCTGTTATTCTACGTTAAAGAGAATGTATCCACCGCATAACTGGCCTTTATTGTAATGACCACAAATATATTCATATTTTATAATTGTAAGAACCTGAAGAGGAGAAATTATTGAAAAGAATATTCTTCGTTCTGATTACCAATGGATTACGGTGTGTGTGTGTGTGGTAGATTAATTTAACTGAGAAGAGTAGATTTTCTAGGATTTCCCTGATAAAAAAATAACGTCATCAGGACCTTCGCAACTGATCTGCGAACAGAACATAAGGTCTTTTTCATCATTACTTCTTACTGTCCAGGCAACCTGGACTGTTTTTGCCTAGAGTCCCTAAAATATTCCAGACTAGCAGTGAGGAAATTTGTGAATTAGTCCTGTGTTTTGGTATACTCACATTCAGCTGACGCTAATCTTCGAGGGTGTCGGTGGTGTGGCTGACGTTGTACACGTCGGTGGCACAGTGGTTAGGACTCTCGCCGACCATGCTCATGGTGCGGGGTTCGAGCCCACTCCGACGCACACCTGATATCTATGGTGGGCCTGCGAACTTTGGGCTACCGATATCCATGCTGAAAATTCCATACTTGTACCAAAAATACGGTGTGGAATCAAGCTGTAATCAAAAATAAAAATAAATAAATAACCTTATTCGGTACAGTTGTTAAAGCTTTATCGATCAGATTTCCTTGTTCATCCAGAAAAGTATGTATTTTGTTAACATGTGTTTACATTACAAGTCCTTACTTTGGTGGTACATTTCAAGTCTGAATTTGTTTGATATTTAAATGCTGCTTTCGAGATAGACTACATATCTACCACTTTTTTTAGTTTTTCTCTTAGGAGAAGCTTTTGTATTCTGAATAAAGAAGCACCATTTAATCAACTAACTTAGAATTATAGGTTTCCAGACCGTAGGTGTTACGAACTTCCTGGAATAATTTGAGCGCCGAGTCAGATTGATTCATTATAAATTATTTAAATTAATTAATCCCAGCGTGTTAACAAAACAGGATGTGGTTTCCGAACGTTTCGCTGTGTAAACCACAGCTTCTTCGGCAGGCTTATTCGGATTTTTATTAATCATCAAAATACATAGTCAAAATTTTTTTTACATAAACTGAAGTCACTTTATTTGAAGGTCATCTGTCTATGGGCATTTTTACCAATAGAAGTATGTAAGCAGTCCTCACATAGATTTGTTATGACTAATGTCAAATTGTTGCTGTGTTCACTCTTCTATAGTTGATTTGTAAAGATTAGTTTTGTATGCATGTGTGTGTATGTATGTTATTTGTCATATGGAAAAGACGTCAATTCACATGTGATAAACATGTCACTACATGTTTTAAAAGGTCATGGGAGCTCATAGAGTGTTTGTTGTTTTTTCATCTGTCTTGCTTCATAAGGCGATAATTCTATCCCTTCTTTCCTATTCACTGCATTCGATGTGGTTAAAATATGCAAGGCTTCAGAAGTCGATCTTTCTTTAGGCGAATGAAATCCTCTTCCAAGAATTTTGACTTTATCAAAATCAATCTTGTGTCCGCTGTCTATCGCATTCATTGCTATAGCCGATCTTTTTTCTAGACTTTTTAATTCTACTTCATTTCTAGGTGGACGTTTCCTGCATACTATATGTTCATTCACTCTGACCTTCACCTGCCTACTGCTGTCCCCTATATAGCATGCATCACATTTTGAACACTTTATCTTGTAGACACAATTACTTTGTGACATTTTGGGAACTATATCTTTGACATGCACTAGCGCTTTCTCTAGAGAGTTAGAAGGTTTGATATAGGCTTTAATATTATATGAAGCAAAAAATTTTCTTTGAAGTTGTTTAGCTGTGTCGTTTCGATATGGAATGGCTATAGTCGATAACCAGGATTTTTCAATTTTTTGTTTTGTTTTCCCTTATGCTTTTTTCTATTGATAATATTATCTAGTAGCTTTTCAGGATAACTATATTGGATATCTCGTTCTCCATATCGTCACTATCTGTTATAATGTTTCTAGCCCTGTTAACGAGATTTAAAGCTACTGAAACTTCCATTCCTATTGGATGATCTGATTGGAAATTCAAATATTTATTGGAATATGTCGGCTTTCAGCATATGGTAAACTTTAGTTTCTTGTCAGTTTGTCTTTTTACAAGACAATCAAGAAAGTTTAGAGTTTCCTCAGCCGATTCTATTTCATTAGTAAACTCAGCTTACACAGCCAAACGTTCAGAAAAATCTTGTTTTGATTTTCTTAACACGCTGGGATTAATTTAAATAATTTATAAGTTAGAATGAGGGCGTCGGTGGCACAGCGGTTAGGACGCTCGCCGACCATACACATGGTCCGGGGTTCGATCCCCTGCCGCAGACGCACTCCTTTACCTTGCTCGCTAAGCCAGAAATGATGCTGGTAAAGAGGAAAGGTTGGGCATGAGGCCAGCAACCCCATCCTGTAAAAATAAACACTGCTACAGAAACTTCAAGCCACTAGCTTGAAGCCCTATGTTCCATTGGGAATGTGAAGGAAAAATTATTATTTTATTTATAAGTTAGAATTGTACCAGTACAGTTAACTTTGTATTTATCTGTTAGCTTATCTCATCTGTCTATAGTTCAATTCACACCATTTTTATCCACAACTGTCCATACTAACGTCTGATTCAATTTTAGAACATATCATGGAATAAATTACTAGACAATCTATTAGTAAACAATCCCTTACTACTTACAAATATTTCACAAAATGGAATTCCAATGAATTCACAAGTCAACTGTTTATCACCACAACTCATTGATCCTCTATTGCCGTTTGCTGCTTATCTACCAAATATACCCTATCCGTTGATTACAGGTTCAATGAACAATCAACTATTACCACTTATACCTCAGAACAGGGGTACAGATGTTCTACATACCTTATCCATTTCAAATAACTTAAATAATTCTGCAAATTTTCCTTCTGTTGGTTTCATCTGCTCCCTCCTTCATCTACTGTAACAACACCAACACCATCAATTCAACCAATTAATTCAGAGACTACACTTCAGAATTCATCGTGTTTATCACAGGCTGACTATACAGCTAATATGAGTACAACAAATACAATTGTCGTCAGTTCTAATGCTACATGAAATTAACTGAATATATCATTTTTAGTAAAAACACATTACTTCACTCTATTCACAAAGTTGGTTTTTATTTTAATTTAAGACAAAAAAAATGTAATGAACTTGTAATTTTAAACGAAATAACAGTAATTGTGGAATGAAAAATGTACTGGGTTTTGAAAAAACTGCTTATTTCATAGTGAATCTGTATTCATTAAATAAATCAGTTTACCCTTCATCAAAATGGCGGCCAATCTTAACTTGTTTGTGTGTATTTGAATGATTTGAAAACAGAATTAAAGTTTGCAGTGAAGCTGTTAGTTACAGAAAGATTGAAATGAACAATTTCCATAAATGAGTTTTGAAATGTTCATTCAACAATCAGAATTGAATACCCTATGAATATATACAGAGGTGATGATGGTCAAATTTTGAAGACAGTGTGTAAATGTTTGGCTACTATGCAAGGATCATGCAATGAACCACGATATTTTCCACATAGTCAGTTATGGCTGTGGCTTGATTTAGTGAATTATTATTATTTATTTAATCATTATTTCCTTTAATTCCTAGAGGGCTTCAGCTGCACGTCTTCACTGCGTTTAGTTCTCTGCTAAAGTTTTCACTTGGTTCCAGGTCTGTCCACATTCTTTCATCTCCTCTTCACATCACCTCCTCCAAGCCACCCTTGCACTCACGACCAACTCGCTGCTTCCCTTTCGAGTTCCACTCGAGTAATGGCTTGTCTAGTGATGTCACTTGATGGTTTCCTCAGAATATGGCCAACCTATCCACCTCCATTTCTTCCTGCTTATTTGTTGCACAATCGGTTCCTGCTGAGTTGGTTCGCTCATTGCCAGAGATCCCTGTTGCCGATCTTTTGTGGCCGGGCGTCTGATCTTGATTACTGAGCGGAGACAGATGTTGATGAAGGTCTGAAGTTTGTTTAGGGTGCTCTTTATGACGCGATGTCAAGTCTCTGATCCGCATAGTAGCAGTGACTTCACATTGGAGTTGAAAATCCGGATCTTATTTTTGATGCTGACTGCTGTTGAACTCCACACGGACTTGAGAGCAATGCAAGCTTGCCTTGCCTTCCCGATCTTTGCTTTGATATCCTCGTCAATTCCGTCCGCCTGTAGTTGAAACGATGCTTCACAGGTAGGTAGGTAGGTGAAGGAGATTGTTTCTTTCAGGTTCCTCCTATTTATTCTGACTGATTGTTGTCTGTTGTTGTTGCCGTTGGCCAAGAATCTTCATCACTTCTGTTTTCGCTATGTTCACCTGAAGGGAGTCCTATCTTTGATGCTTCTTCTGCCAACTTGTTGCTTTTGACTTGCATAACTTCCAGTTTGTGAGAAATCAAACATATATCATTGGCGAAGTCCAGATCCTCCAGATCTAGCTAGTACAACTACAAAAGTATATTTTTGAAATGTTGAAAAGTGCTTAGAACAAATCACGAATAACAACTCCTGGAGTATAATGTGAGCTTATTCTTATTATCCTGCTAATTCTCTTCCAATGCTTACAGCTTGAGAGAAAAAACTCAACGTATAAATAGGTTGAGACATAATTTTATCCCGTTGACAGACAATTCAGTTTTCTTCAAAATGGCATTCATTATGATGCCATTACTTGTCTTAAACAAATAGTCTGATTATACTACAAACAGTTACTAAAGGATGAGTAGAATAACTTAAATTCTACAGAAAGGGATCTTTGAAATCGTAATCATAGGAAAATACTTGGTAAGTGCACTTTTAAGGATAAAAAATAATGATTTTTGCGCTTTTCTCACAGATGTAGGAATAACTGTCTGAAGTTTAAATTATTCATCACTTGTATTACTCTCATAGCAAAATATTTCATTCACTAGAATAAACATTTTATTTTAAAATTAGCTTTTGCTTTCTAACCACTAGTTAGTTAGTATATTTTCCTGTCAACCTGATTTCAAGCCATTTACAATAAAGTGGATGAGTGTATTCAGCATAGTTATATAAAACAAGTTTCTTTCTTGTAAAGTGATGCATACACACCAACTGCTAGTCGAACAAAAGTTAATTTATGTATGCAGTCATAAATTCTGGACAAAACTCATCCATCCAGTAAACGCTGTGTTCATTAAACTAAATGTGATGAGATTGTTGTAACACTCATAATGACATTTATTCCACTTTTACTGTGTAAGGTCTAAACTAAGAAAGATGGTCTCCTAAAGGTAAACTGTTCTTTAATAAATAAGTTTACACCAGATTTCATTCTAGTTTTTAACGAAATTGGTAACCACTAGGATCCATCAAATGAGCTGTCAAAATCATTCTGCATCGTTGGCTAACTGCGGAATTAGCGTTATGGGGGTAAATAGACAACATAGGGGCCACTCAATTTAATGCCAGTGACTGAATGGTAACGTATTCGTCTGAAACTTCTAAGTTTGAGTTGAGTTCGCATTGCCGAATAGCTTAGACTTAGAATAAAACGACTGCCTAGAACTTGCTGCATTTTAGATTTGTAGTGAAATCGTTAATCACAAATCAACAAGTCAGTGAAATAATCAACAACTCCGTGTTAGTTAATCAGTTGTCGTGAGATTCATTTCTTCAGATGCCAATGAGAATTTGTGACATGTGGTCTCAAGTCAGTTTCATATTAGACTAAGTAATCACTTATGACAAAGTCTGACGACAGCATCCTACTGTGAATTCATAGATGTTGTACAACCTGAACATTTATTTTCTAATCCAGAGTTTAGCTGGCTGATTTCAACATAGAACTCTGCACCGATGTGCAGCAGTTCAAGTCGCCACACTCCATCCACGTAGCACAAAAAATAAGAGAAGAAAGTGAAAGGGAATGCAAAATAGAGACAGTAAACAGAGATACAAGGCAAGAAGAATAGTATTACCGAAGAACAATATAGTTTTATCGGGTGTTATAAGTCACAAGGAGTGGATGCATCTACGCCAGAGGTTAAACAAGATGAGATTTCATAGGTGTGGCCTTATTGCAACTTCGAGGGAATCACTTAGGCTTACAAATAAGTAGATAATGGCATCCGAAACCCACTTCTATAGACTTCTTTTTTCTTTAGTATTATTAGCCATAATTGATTTGTTTACTGATTTACAGGTAATTCAAAATTCACTTTACTTTCCACTATAAAAGAAAGCTGAAGTATAATGACTGTGAATACCTGTGGCGAACGTTCTCATTTCATTATCTATCTGCAACCAGTCTCTGACAATAAATCTTCTACTCTTTTAATAATGATTTTCGCCTCAAATTTCTGAGGATATTGTCCATCAGATAAGTCAGTGATGTATGCATGCACGTTATATTTTTTTCTGGGATCACGTGATGTCTATGAGTGAATTTAGAAGAATCTAAAATAGTGACTTTCGTTCACTCAGAATACGGGGGGCGATAATTCAGTTACATATATATTGATAATTACTATGAAATAACTTGGACAGAAGCTAGGCAGCTATAGTACATCCACTAGCTGATAGTCAGGTGATATAGTAGAATAAGAAGAAAATTCTAGACTAGACCAAAGTTCAAAGAAGACGAAAAGAATACTGAGTCCTTCTTTTGTATGTACTATATACAGCCGGAATAATTCAGTATATTACTATACCAGTAAAAATGAAATCATTATGAAAGGTTTAAAGAAATGCTTAAAAATGGTATAATAAATCTTATGTGATGATAAGCAATGAATTGCTTTCGTAATATTTTCCGATAAACAACAGCATGTAACTCATTGTCTGTGTATTATTATTGTTCCCTTGGGTTCCTAGTGGAACATAGGGCTTCAACTGCACATCTTCACTTGCTTCTGTCTTCCTTCTGCTGTACTTTTCACCTACATCCATGTTAGTCCATACTGTTTCAACTCCTCTTCACACGATCTCCTCCATGTCAACCTTGCACTGACGTCCCACTCCCCGCTTCCCTTTCAGGTTCCAATCGAACAATGGCCTGGCGCGCGCGATGTCACTCAGCGACCTCCTCAGCGAGTGTCCAATCCATCCATCTCCACTTTATCCCGCATATTTGTTGGTTGGCGATTGGTTCTTGTTTTGTTTGTTCCCATAGTTTCTTGTTGGTAATTCTTTCCGGCCCGGCCATCTGATCTTCTGTATAGAGCGAAGACAGTTAGTTGTTGATAAAGGTCTGCAATATCCAGCTTGTTGGAAATATTCTTTGTGACCCACCCGCCCGCCAAGTTTCTGATCCGTATAGAAGAACTTACTTTACGTTTGTATTGAAAATCCTACCGAATTTTGTTGTTGATTCTGGCTGAGTGACGAAGATTTCCAGATTAATTTCAGGTTGATGAATGTGTTTTTCGCCTTCCCGATTCTCGCTCGATTTGACATCCGCGTCCGTTCCTCCGTTCCTGTAGTTGAGACAATGCTCCCTAGATAAGTGAATGAAGTAAAAAATTTCAAATCCCTCCTGTTGATGGTGATTGGCGCTGGATGTTGTTGCTGCTGCTGTTGTTGTTGGTTGGTTATTTTCATAACCTCCTTCTTGTCTATCTTCACTTGGGGTGCTGTCTTCACTGTCTGCTTCTTCGACCAGTTTGTCGGTTTTCGCTTGTCTTTGTCTGTGTAGATAAACTGATATTATGTAAATTTGTAATCTACCATACCCTGAATTATAGTTAGACAGTTAAGTATTTGACACTGATTGTTTAAAAAGTAAAGAGTACCATTTTTAGTGTGGGAAACATAAAACTAACTTGGCGTCTGTTAGTAAAGAATCACTAACTGCCTAAGGATTTTCTAAATTTTTATAGAAACAGATTTCGTGGACCCAGAGAAGTATTATTTGTCGACAAGTCTACATTTGTAGTTACCTCAATTTTGATTTGTTATC